GGTGCCCAGAGGAACCCCAGAAGCTGTGCCATCATCAGCATCCACCTGGCTAATTCACCTGGCTGGTGACCCCAATTCAAAGGCAGGCCAGGCCTGCTGTCCTGCCCTGGATGCGGGCTGCTCTGGCCCCACCGCCTGCCCACACCCACACTCGCAGGCCTAGGTTGGGGAGGCAGGGTGTTTGGGACCCTCGCTCTCCTTCCTGAATCTTCTGAGTTGACTAAAAGCAAAACAGGAGTGGGTTTCTCTGTCTGCGGGGAGTGGGGAGCACCCTATCCAGACTCAGGGTTCACCAGATGGACGTGACTTGTTACCTAGGCCTGTCACAGGGCTCTGCACTTGGCCTTCGAATGTGGGCAAGCCAGGGGGCCTCCAGGCCTCTCTGGGGCTGCAGATCTGACCCGGACAGCCTTGGCCAGTGTCTCTGACTCCGGGTAAAATGGGTCTTCCCCTCCTGGAAGAGATGCTGCCCCCTGGTGGTGCATCTACTCTGAGAGAGAAAATACTCCCAGCTGGCCTGATGCCCAGGCACAGGCTTCTCCTAAACACAGGTCTCCCCACCTGTCAGGATGTCCAAACGGAGGTTGGCTCCAGAAAGAGCCTTTCCAGCCTTTCTGGCCGGCTCCAGAAAGCCCCCAAGAGAGACGCTGAAACTCTCAGGCGGGTAAAAAGAGCAGACCTCTGACCTCCCAGGGCACAGTCCTTGCTGCCATCCTGGGGCATCCTCCTGTGAGTCAGGTGCCGGGGAAGCCATGGTCAGAGGCCAGCAGGGGAAGCAGAAAGTAGAGACGCCCCGGCCAGCACACCTGTGGGCAGGCAGGTCAGGGAGGGTCCAGGCACTCAGGATGAGCAGAACTCACCGGCCAAGGCTGGGGCTGAGGAGGAGCTAGAATCGCAGAGACACACTGCTCCCACCCCTCACCACCCCTGACACTCAGACATCACACTTCAGGGGCAGAACAGAAAACCCAGAGCCTCACCCAGGCAGGGCTCACATCCCATTCCCCGTCCGGGTGCTGACCCCGTCCTCCCAGCTCTGAGGAGCCTCAGATCTCCCGGGTGGCAGGGGTGCAGCTGCATAGTGGCGAAATTCCAAGGCCTGGTTCTGTGTTTGCCTTGTGCTGCAGTTCAGAATGCCTCTGACGCTCACGCACCCCAAATGGACAAGGAGGTCCCCTCATCTCCCCGTGGGCAATGCTGAGCTTGGAAGTGGGAGGTTCTGAAGGCATCGGAGGCCTGATTTCTGGACTTCGGAGAGCGTGAAGCTGCCCGGGTCGCAAGCTCATTGTGAACTGTTCGCTTGTTCCCTCCAGGCTCATACCCGGGCTCTGACTCCAGCCAAAGCATGAATGGCCTTGAAGTGGCCCCCCCAGGTCTGATCACCAACTTCTCCCTGGCCACGGCAGAGCAATGTGGCCAGGAGACGCCGCTGGAGAACATGCTGTTCGCCTCCTTCTACCTCCTGGATTTTATCCTGGCTTTCGTTGGCAATACCCTGGCTCTGTGGCTTTTCATCCGAGACCACAAGTCCGGGACCCCGGCCAACGTGTTCCTGATGCATCTGGCCGTGGCCGACTTGTCGTGCGTGCTGGTCCTGCCCACCCGCCTGGTCTACCACTTCTCTGGGAACCACTGGCCGTTTGGAGAAATCGCGTGCCGTCTCACCGGCTTCCTCTTCTACCTCAACATGTACGCCAGCATCTACTTCCTCACCTGCATCAGCGCCGACCGCTTCCTGGCCATCGTGCACCCGGTCAAGTCCCTGAAGCTCCGCAGGCCCCTCTACGCACACCTGGCCTGTGCCTTCCTGTGGGTGGTGGTGGCCGTGGCCATGGCCCCGCTGCTGGTGAGCCAGCAGACCGTGCAGACCAACCACACGGTGGTGTGCCTGCAGCTGTACCGGGAGAAGGCCTCCCACCATGCCCTGGTGTCCCTGGCCGTGGCCTTCACCTTCCCGTTCGTCACCACGGTCACCTGCTACCTGCTGATCATCCGCAGCCTGCGGCAGGGCCTGCGTGTGGAGAAGCGCCTCAAGAGCAAGGCGGTGCGCATGATCGCCATCGTGCTGGCCATCTTCCTGGTCTGCTTCGTGCCCTACCACGTCAACCGCTCCGTCTATGTGCTGCACTACCATAGCGGTGGGACCTCCTGTGCCACCCAGCGCGTCCTGGCCCTGGGAAACCGCATCACCTCCTGCCTCACCAGCCTCAACGGGGCGCTCGACCCCATCATGTATTTCTTTGTGGCTGAGAAGTTCCGCCACGCCCTGTGCAACTTGCTCTGTGGCAAAAGGCTCAAGGGCCCGCCCCCCAGCTTCGAAGGGAAAACCAACGAAAGCTCGCTGAGTGCCAAGTCCGAGTTGTGAGCGGGGGGCGCTGTCCAGGCCGAGCACAGACTGTTTAGGACTCAGCAGACTCAGCAAGAGGCATCTGCCGTTTCCCCAGCCACCTCCCCAGCAGGCAACCTGAAATCTCAGCAGATGCCCACCGTTTCTCTAGACCGCCTCGTCTCAACCCCTGAAAAGGGAAAACTGACGAAGGGGATCCGTCGGCCACCCCTCTGCAGGGGCTTGTGATGCTTACAAAGGCTCCTAGACACTCAACGACTTCATCCGTGGCAGGGAGAGAAGAGGCCGGAAGAACAACCCCTGAACAATGGACGCCTTTCTTTCCCACTAGGCTCCCAGCCTTCTTCCTGCTACAGAATCGCTCAGCAACCAGGCTCTGCAGAAAGACCCGGAAGAGGGACCTGGGAGTCCTGGCGGGGGCGGGGAGGGAGTCTCAATATTCCTTTGCAGTGCAAGGTACCCTGAGTCCCCTCTGGTGCCTCTGCCAGATACACACTGCCGGAGTTGAAGGGACACAGGCCACACGTTTCAGGCTGGTTGCCAGGGGACCTCAGCACTCTCGGCCTGCAGGGACTGAGCACAGCTCTGGATTCTGGATCTCTCCTGCTGTAACCCCACACACAGGCCTGCAACCCCCAGAGCTCTTTGGCAGGCTCCCAGTCCCGGACAAGCATGTCCTGTGTAGTCATGGCAGCTCAGGTCAGGCCAGGGCTGCGCTGTGCACCTGCCTCCCACTGACCCAGACCCCCTTCCTCCAGAGAGGCCTCTCTCTGCCTGAGCTATTTCCCTTGCTTGCGTGCAGATATTTCCCTAACACGTCCTTTATATTTGTTTGTACAGACCATAAACACAACCGTAGCTTTCAGACTACACAGGTTATTGTGTTTGGTCAACATGAAGCGTTTCCCAGAACTTCTGTCTTTGACCCAGGAGTGGCGAAGTGGTGGCACAGCGGCAGAGGCAGCCTCGTGGGCTCTTGCTGGGGCTCTGGCAGCTCACGGCACGTCTGTCCAGATTCTGAAGTCTGCACTGTGGGGCTGGGAGGGTCAAGCAGGGGCCCTCATTCCTCACCCTAGCTGCCGCCCTGCCCCGTCCTTACGGCAATGTGCTTCTGTAGCACGTCTGACTTTCCAAAACACTTCCAGCATCTTTCACATTTCCCCAACCAGCCCTTGGGGCAGTGGCCCTGTGCAAACCTTGCCTCAGAAAGGAGACTGGGCTCGCTCCACACACCGTCGGCGACATTGCTGGTCACCATGAGCCCCTGGTGCTGTCCCTCGGCCCCTGCACTGCACCGTCTGCCCCCTCAGCCCTTCATTTAGACAACCTGCTCAATGCCAGGCACCGCCCAGCTCCGAGGACAGCGGGCTAGACACCGGGCACCAGGCCACATGCCTCTCTCGTGGGCGGCGCGTGGACAAGAGCTTGGTAGTGTCGGGGAAGCATCTCGGAGGAGCTGCGGGAGCGAGCAGAGTGCCCGGACAGAGGGGGTGTGGCAGGGGAGGCATGGCTGGGGCCTCTGTGGGGCGGCGCTGCCTCTCACTGACACGGGGCACATGCAGAGGCAGCCTTGGTGGTTGGCGGAGGAGAATCCCAAACTGCCTGTGCCCCATTGCATTTGGGATGCCTGGTGGACACCAAGTGAAGGTGGCATGTGGGCAGCTGAGGACAGCGAGAGAGAGGCCCGAAGTGGAGCCCAGAATTGTCCAGACACACATGCCATTTAGGGCTCTAGGATTCTGTCTGCAAGGGCAGCCATGAGGGCCGGGCGCGGAGTCCCAGACGACCCCCCATGGAGAGACCGGGAGGAAGATGGCTCAGAGGAGGGAGTGAGCAGGTGCCGCTGTGGGGGCGGGGGACAGAACCACAGGAACTCAGGGTCCCGGGTGCCAGAAGGGGGGCGTTTCTGCACCTCAGCAGCTGTGGTGAGAGCTGCTGAGGGGTCAAGAGGAGGTGTGGGTCCCTGGGCAGATGAGGCTGGGGTAGCACACACGAGGGGAGGCAGGTGTGCTGGGAGAGGCTGGGGAGGAAGGCCAGCCAGTATTTTTAACCCAGCTCCCCAGCCCGGTCCTTCAGAAAGGACAAGAGAGTGGCATGGAGAAGGGAGCCCTGGAGAAACTGTGGGAACGAACACGGCTCAGACAGCAGCGGGGCTGCACGGGATCCCAGAGCTAGGGCCAGGGCAGGTAGGAGACAAGGCAGCCTGCTATAGGGACAGTGCTCGGGGAGGGGGAACAAGAGACCAAGGCTTCACAGGAGGTGGGAACTTCTGGAGTACCCATGAGGTCTGTGGCCCTGAATTTAAGAGTAAATGTGGGCATTTCCCTCCAGCCACACTGAGCTGCAGAGGTACAGGCAGGGGAAGGTGGACAGGTGGGGTCAGTAGGCGGGGTGGCCAGGGGGTGGGGGACTGTGGAGGTTTCTCATGGCTCCCGAGAGGCTGCCAGGAACATGCCAAGCATGGGGCCCCGCAAACTGGGAGTTGGACCATCTGCCCTGAGGTGAACTGGAGGGAGGGCAGCCACGTCAGTGCAGGCTTCGGCACCGGGACCCTGCTGGGCCCTCAGCAAGTGGGTAGCACACGGGAGGGGTGGGCAGGTGTGCTGGGCAGGGCTGTGGCCCAGTCCCCTCTGGCCCAATGTGGCCACCTCACCTGCCGGCATTCTTCACAAAGCCCAGGTCAGCCAGCTCCACATCGCACAGCTCGCAGCGGAAGCAGCCCGGGTGCCAGTTGTTGTTCATGGCCTTGATGACGCGGCCAATGATGAACTCACCTGGAAAAGGACAGGTCCCTGCTGGCCAGGGGGCGCGTGCCCGTCCCCTCTTCGGACCCTCCAAAGCCCCGTCCACCTAACACTCCACCTGCTCTCTGCCTGGCCCGTGGGCTCCCTTGTGAGATGGGGGTACCTATAGGGGGCCTGAGGGCTGCCGCTCAGAGAGGCAAGGTGGGCAGTTAGGGAAGAGCTAGGCCAGTTCTGTGTGCCCCTTTGGGCCCCCGCCCCCCCACCCCGCCTGCTGCCCACTTCCCAGGCAGCCCAGGATGTGCACTGTCACCGGCCTTACCGCAGGATCCGCAGCACGGAGCAAACAGCATTTGGAAGTCGTGTTCACAGTACTTCCGGCCTTCAAACTGCAAAGGGGTCGCAGAGAGAGGACAAGCACTATCATTCCCACCAGCCGCCCAGGCCCTTGTCGGGTCAGGACCTGACAGCAGGGGATGAGGCACTGAGACAGGCACATGTCGGGCTGAGGCTGGAGCAGCAGGTCCCAGGCCTGGCCAGCAGAGGACATTGGCCCTTTTGGGATGGTGGGGTGCAAAGGGAGGGGCCCCTGTGGAAGCTGGAAAGGTCTGCAAGGCCACCTGTCCAAGGGCCACTGGTGTCTACTGAGGATCTGGACCCTGTGGGTCCGGAGAACAGGCTGGGGGTGAGGGCGTTTTATGCCAGGAGGGATGAGATCCAGTTTGAAGTGTAGTGCCACTTGGCCCTATTTCCTATACCTTCTTTGTGGAAGTAGTCCAGCTTCCCTAGAGGCCACGAAGACCCAGGGACAGAAGGAAGGGAAGGCAGGAAGGACCTGGGCACGGGGGAGTGGGGAGAGCTCAGGGCTGCGGCCAGCAGGAGCCAGTGTGCACACCCTCCAGGCGGCAGCTGCCAGCGAGGGCCCCTGTGCTGGCCACAAGTGGGGCCAAAGCCTGCCTCTGCTTTCCTCTCTTTTGATAATTGTATTTTCTATTTTTTAATTTGGTTTTTCCCTGTTCTCTAAAATGAGTGTCTTACTAGACTGAACTGGATATAGCCCTACCCAGGGACCTGTAGAGGCAGGAAGGGCTTAAACTCTTTCAGCAATGAAAATCATCTGGACACCTACTGTATGACAGGCTTTGTTCTGGGCACATGGCCACCCCTCCCAGAGTTTTGCCCACCCCCCTGCTGTCTCTACATTTAGCCAGCATTTCTCAGGAGGCTGAAGGCACCGTGAGGAACAGTGGCTCCTGGTCTGCCAGGCGGACCACATGCCCCACATCCATCCACCAGCCAATCCCATCAGCTCTACCTCGAAACAGAGCCAGCATCTGAACCCTGGCCACCACCGCCACCACAACCACCAGTGGCGTGCTGGTAAATGTTGAACAGCCAGCTCTCTGGGGCACAGAGGCAGGCCCTGCTGTGGGGCGTTTGCCAATGTCCATGGTGTGAATATTCCCGTCATGGCCAACCTCCAGTTGCCGAAAGGACATCGATGTGGACTTGAGCGGGGGTGTGCATGGCCACCCCAGCACAATGAACGGAAATAACCCTGGCAGCATAGACAATAGTAAAGTGGAACAAAATAATTAGCAAGTGGTACGCTTTGAGTATTTGTTCCCTCTGTTTTTAATAAAATTGTATCCCATTGTATGTTTATGTAATTTAATTTTTAAACAAAAACTCTGTTGCATAACCAGTTTGCAAGACTGTTGATGATTTAAAGACTGCTCTCATGAGCTGGTGAAGGCCCCTTCACTTTCATCTGGGTGACTGTACTAATTCAGCTCCTGGTCCCGCCGGCTTCCCAGCCCAGCCTCTGTTCCGGTCCCACCTTACACCCTCTCCTCAGCGGCCAGAAGCCTCCTTTTTTTTTTTTAGATGGAGTCTTGCTCTGTCCCCCAGGCTGGAGTGCAATGGCGCGATCTCGGCTCACTGCAACATCCGCCTCCCAGGTTCAAGTGATTCTCCTGCCTCAGCCTCCTGAGTAGCTGGGATTACAGGCACCTGCCACTATGCCAGGCTAATTTTTTGTATTTTTAGTACAGACAGGGTTTCACCATGTTGGCCAGGCTGGTCTTGAACTCCTGACCTCAGGTGATTCACCCGCCTCCGTCTCCCAAAGTGCTGGGATTACAGGCATGAGTCACAGTGCCTGACCAGGGCACCTTTTCAAATGTCAGCAGACAGTGTGACTCCTCTGCTTCACACCCCGAGGTGGCTCCTGTCTATGCCTCTGTAGAGGCCCATTGGGCCAAACAAAATCCACCTCCCTGTCCTGAGCGCCTGGCACTCTTCCTCTCATGCCCTCAGCTTCTATCACACCAGCTTCCCTACTGCTCTCCATACACCCCATGTTCTCCCACCACAGGGTCTGTGCATGTGCTGTGCCCTCTGCCCAGTGCTCTTCCTGCAGAGATGTCTGTGGCTCCCTCCCCTCAGGTCTGCCCAAACCTCACCTTCCCTGAGCACCACCCCACCCCACCCTGTAAGCCCTGACCCCCAGGGCATCAGCACCAGCTGGTGGGCCCTGCGGTTGCTGTGCTCACTGTCTGGTCCCCATGGAGGGCAAGCACCACCAGGGCAGGCTCTTCCTGCCCCCAGGGCCTGCCCAGCATCTGCCCAGAGGAGGCTGGTGAAAGGTGGCTCTCCGTTAGCACCCAGAGCATCCGGGGCGCTGTTCACATCTCACAGGTGAAGGATGGGCCCGTGCAGGAGCTCAAGCCTGCTTCTGGGCTGGCTCCAGACCCGGCCCTGTCACCAGTCAGGACCACAGCCCGGAGCCCAGCCCACCCACTCCTTGAGGGCAGACTCTGAGCGGGGTCTGAGAAGGCCCTCAGTAGTGTCCTCACCTCATAGAAGAGCCCCTCGGGGAAGGGCCGGAAGCACTGGGCACACACGAAGCAGTGCTCATGGTACAGCTCCCCATTGCTGTTGACAATGCGCTCAGCTGGGGCGAAGCGGGCCTGGCAACGCTGGCACACGGCATTGGCCAAGGCGTCCGACATGTTGCTGGGGGCGGGAGACAGGAGGGGTGAGTCAGAGCTGGTCAGAGGCGCGGATGGGGCACATGCAGAGGCCTGAGCCCGACAGACACACCTCATATTAAAAAGTGAAGACGCTCTACGGGGTCAGGAAAATCGCTCTAACCCAGGGTCCAGCTGCTCAGTGCTTGCAGTGCCCACCCCTTGGGGTGTCAGGGGCCCAGTTAACTCCCACTTGGGCCCCTATTACCCCTTCTTCAGGGACCACAGAGTCTCACGCACAGAACACCACCCAGCGCAGGTGAGTGGCTCTGTATTTGCACTCTTACTTAATCCCCAAGGCAATCCTGCAGCTACTATTATTATGGCCTCTTCCAGAGGAGGCACCAAAGCCTCAGAGAGGTTGAGTAACTTGCCCAAGCTCACAAAACAGAGCGGGGTAAATGCTTGAACCCAGACTGCTCAGTCTTCCATGGTTCCATCCTCTGCGCCATGAGTTAGTTTCAAACCGACTGCCTCCCATAAACACATAACCACCCAACCACAGAGAAGGCAAGGGGGTAGCCGGGTGCAGCGGCTCAAGCCTGTCATCCAGAGCACTGTGGGAGGCCAAGGTGGGCGGATCCCTTGAGCCCAGGAGTTTGAGACCAGCTGGGTAATATGGCAAGAACCCATCTCTAATAAAAACACACACAAAAAACAAAAAAGATAGCCAGGGGTGGTGGTGCAAGCCTGTAGTCCCAGCCCCATTCTGGAGGCTGAGGCGGAAGGATGGCTTGAGCCTGGGAGGCTGAGGCTGCAATGAGCTGTGACCATGGCACTGCACTCCAACCTGGGCAACAGAGTGAGACCCTGTCTCAACAACAACAACAACAAAAAAAACGGCAAGAGTATGAATCTTTGAGACAAGACGGGAGTGCGGTGATGGGAGCAAAGCTCATCCATGCTGGGCACTGCCTGTCCCCAGAGTCAGCGGTGGGTTTCCTTCTGGGAGGGGTGAAATGCAAACTACACGGGAAAAGCCCACAGTGAGCCAGGCCCACAGTCATTCCAGCCCCGGGGCCCTTCAGCACGGCCAGGAGGGGTCTTTTACACTCAAAAACATGGTAAGGATGAGTCCTAAACACCCAACTGCCTCTACGGCCTTCAGAGAACCAGATACCCAACGCCTTTTGCTAGGAAGGGAGAACATGGGTTCTGTCTCAAGTGTCTCAACTCCTGTGGGTTCCTGGAAAGCTGGGCAGAGAGGGATCATCAGGCTCGCAGGGGAGTGATGCAACCAGCTGGTAATGTCCGCCTTGGTGCAGCTGTGGTGTGGCAGGACGTGAGTGCAGTGCCTTTGGGAACACCTCTCCACCTGCCCTGCCTCCCAGGATGAATCCCACCCACCAGTCACTCGCTGCCGCAGCATCAGGAGAGAAATGCCTGGTGAGTGAGGCTCCTGTCGGGCTGTTCTGCAGCCTGCGATCTGGGCAGGGCCAGCCTGAAGAGTGCCAGCCACAGAGAAGAGGGGCCTTAGACAGGATGAGCCCAGGGTTGGAGGACAGGGCTGCGCTCAGGGTCTGGGCATTGGGCTGTGGGCAGAGGGTCTCACAGGAGGCTGCTGCCATATGGAGACAGACTGGCAACTGGGAATGGGAACCCAGGCTGATGTCTCTTTCTTCTCTGCTTAGGGACCCATGTGGCGGAGGCTGGCTGGAAGGCCGTTCAGCGAGGCTTTCTGGGCATGCTGGGCTTCCGTCCTCCTTGGCCTGCCCCTGGGGCGCTTAGGAGACCAAAGCCACCATGCGAGCCCACATTTAGGCCAGAGGGGCAAGGAAGCAGAGATGGTGGCAACAAGAGTTGGGAAGAACCCAAGAAGAAAGGCCTCGGCACCCAGCGGCTGCTCCTCAGTCCTCCCAGCTCCCTGCTGGTCTTCACAGGGCGGGCCAGGCGGGCCACCAGGGCGGAGTCTGGCCGCCCCAAGCCACCCTCGAGGGCTGGGCTGGGCTTCACTAGGACGGGCTTGGTTTCCTTCCCGGAGAACACTGTGAACCTCCTCTCCTGAAACACACACCCAAGGTGACAGGGAGGACGTTCCAGGGCCTAACCATGAGCCAGACCTTGGGCGTCTTAAGAGAAGTCGGAAATCAACAGGAAATCCCAAGCCTCCGGGCCTGGAATTCCTCACTCCAAGGACCCAGAAAACGAAGCCAAATTAAGGACTTCCAGCCCCAGCCTTTCAGATTCCGCCTTAAAGCCAGACCTCTAGACCCCAGTGACTGAGCACACACCCCTCGCACCCCCTTCCAGGCTCCTGTTCTCTGCCCCAGGGGCTGCTGTTTAGGGCCTGCACCCACAGGCCTGCCCCCTCTGGCTTCCAGGTGGGCTGACCCTACTCCCACGAGCAAGGTGCTGCTGGGACCCGGGCCTCTCCCTGTGGTTACCAGCACTCCTGCACCCCTAGCCCAGCTGCTTCACCACCCTTCCTCCCTCCCTGTTTCATAAACAGACCCTCAGTTAGCACTCCCCAGCTGCCACGCTTCCCACTGAGAGGTGAAGCCGTCTGGGCTTCTGGGTCTGGTGGGGACTTGGAGAACTTTTCTGTCTAGCTAAGGATTGCAAATGCACCAATCAGTGCTCTGTGTCTACCTAAAGGTTTGTAAACACACCCACCAGCACTCAGTAAAAACTGACCACGCTCTGTAAAACGGACCAATCAGCTTGCTGTAAAATGGACCAATCAGCTCACTGTAAAACGGACCAATCAGCGCTCTGTAAAATGGACCAATCAGCAGGATGTGGGTGGGGCCAAATAAGGGAATAAAAGCAGGCCACCACAACGCCCCAGTCGGTCCTTCTCTACCTTGTGGTAGGTTTGTTCTTTTGCTTTTTGCAACAGATCTTTAGTGCGATTACTCTTTCGATCCCTGATACCACCTTTATGGGCTGTAACACTCACCACAAAGGTCTGCAGATTCACTCCTGAAGCTAACCAGACCATAAACCCACCGGGAGGAGCGAACAACCCCAGACGCGCCTTCTTTAAAAGCTGTAACACTCACTGCCAGGGTCTGTGGCTTCATTCGTGAAGTCAGTAAGACCATGAACCCACCAGAAGGAAGAAACTCCGGACGTATCTGAACATCTGAAGGAACAGACTCCAGACACTCCATCTTTAAGAACTGTAACACTCACCGCGAGGGTCTGCGGCTTCATTCTTGAAGTCAGCGAGACCAAGAAACCCCCAAAAGGAACCAATTCTGGACACACCACCAGGGTCCTAACAGCAGCCTGGCCATACCCTCTCTCCTCTACCTTCCTGCTCATCTTCCAGTCGAACCTGGAAACTGGTCCCTAACCAGTTCCCTGGCTGGTTCCCAGACGCCTCCAGTGAGATCATTGCCGCCTGTGCCCGGCAGACCTTGCACAAAGCCTGGCATAAGCAGGTGGGGGGTGGGGGTCGCCACCTCCCTCCTATGCCCAGGGGCTGCCCCAGGCCAAGTCACAGGCACCAGAGCCCCTAACAGTAGCTCTGTGAAAGGCTCCGGGGCCGCATCCCCAGGACATCCCACCGGGGAGCACAGGAACATTCTGATCCAAGGGCAAAGACGAACAGACAGAAGCATGCAGAGACAATGGAGATTCAGCACCGTGAGAGTACACGTTTGCTGACTCCTGCAGGGGAGGAAGAGGCCTGCACCCACGTGCCCAGCTTTACACCTGATAGCCCCAGCCACCGGCCTGGAACCTCAAGAAAGGTGCTGGCTTCTCCAGGCCTCATTTCCTCTTCTATAAAGAGGTGCACGAGGGAAACAGTAGCCACCTCGAGGAGCCAAAGTGAAGAATGAATGACGCCCACGTGTCCAGCACAGAGCACCAGGCCAGGCGGGCAAAGCGCTGGATAAAAAGAACTGTTGTTTTCCAGCAACTCTGGGAGCCTTCCAGAGTCCCTGTGCATGGCTCAGCCCAGGGGAAGGCCTGCAGGCTGTCTGCAGTCCCTGCGGGAGGGCAAAGGGTCAGAGTTGTGGACATTCCATGTCCTCCTTTGCACATTCCTTCAGGATAGGGAACACAGTCTGCCCAGTTATCCCCCAGGAGACACCACTACCCGCCCCCAGCTGGACTACATAGAACATACTGCCCAGGGCATGCCCAACATGGAAGCCAAACCCCAGATCTGGGGTAGAGCACACCATCTCGTGCCCTTCCCCAGCACCCCAGAATGCTCTTAGTCTTGACAGCTGACACAAGCCAATTTGTTTCAAGATGTCCCTGAGTCTGGGGTGGGATCAGAGGAGCCTGCTCTGTTCAGGCCTTCGTAAGGGGAGGAGGCTGGTTCCAGATAAGGAGATCGAAGCACAGAGAGGGTTAGTAACGAGCTGAGGGTCACACAGGATTAGACTCATGCTCCCCCCATCTCCTCCTGGCATCCCCCATTCCAGATTCTGTTTCTTCAGCAACCCCAGACTTTCTTCCATCCCAGCCTCCCCGATATCTGAGTCTAGGAAGAGAGTGTAAGGATCTGGGAAGAGTCAGGGGCCAGCCACAAGGGGTCTGGTCACACCCAAGACGAGCCAGTGTTGCTGAGGCCACGTCAGCCTGAGCAGCAGTCAGGCCAGGGGTGTGTCCTCTATAACCAGGCACACCAGGCTGCAACCCAGGCCCGGACAACCCCTGCTTGTGTGACCTGCAGCAGAGGACTCTGAACCTCAACTTCCTCATCTATAAAATTGGCCAGGAATAGCTACCTCCAGGGAGGGAGTAAGTGAGGGGAGTCCTGCAAGTGCAGCCCATGCTTTCGTGTTTCATCCAACAAGTCTTCACTGAGCCCCCGCACTGATAGGCACCATTCCAGGTGCAGAGGGCTTCGGGGAGGGACCCCACTGCAGCACAGCCCAGGGAGCACCTTCAGTCCCTCAGCACTGCCTGGGCCTCCTCCCTGCCCCGCCTCCACGAAGCCAGCCAGAGGCCAGTGTCAGGGGTCACCTGGCTACATGAGGTCAACAAAAATGTACACAAAGCCATGGGGACGCTAAAAATGAACAT